TTCAGTAAGTATAATAAAAGAGAATTTGTTGTCAATAGCTTCAATCAAGGCACTAACATCATCGAAGTGTTTACCTAGGGATCTAACGTTCAAATTGATTACAGAGATATTGTGATTATGAGTTAATACATTGTTTACATCATGTGCTGCAAAATATCTGCAATTTTGACAATAATCATTAAAGTGATTATTGTCATAGATAGTGGATAAGAGGTTAAGTTCTGGGTCTATACTTGACTGCATAAAAAAAGCTGATTGCAGGAAAAACAAGGAAAGAAAGGCAAATTACAAGGTAGAAATAAGCTATAAAATAGGGGAAAAAAAATGTACACAATACTGTACAAAACAAACACAAAAGGGGCTTACAGGGGTACAATGGAGTAAGGGAGTATGGCTAGGCTAGGCAACCTAGGTAATAAATGAGATTAAAGAAAAAACATATAAACATGGACTATACAAAACACAAGATATAGATATACAAAACAAAAATATAAACAAGACTAAGCAATACAAAAACAAATTGAGCAAAAATGAAAAATGAGTTAGATTGCTTACAGGTACTCTCAGGTACACTGTAAGTAACAATAGATAGATAATATATATCAATATAGATAAGAATGTCACGATACAATAAGATAAGCAATTACAGGAACAGATGAAAACAAATCTGCTGTAAAATATAAAGTAATTATAGCAAAACACAACAATATAATAATATAACAATACAATAAGAGCTTACAAGGTATTGAGTCTGCTAAATTAGAGAATAATTATGGCAAAACACAACAATAAATGCAAGTAAACAAAAGAATTGAAACAATTAGAGGTAGAATTAAGGTCACTAGATAGCCATGGAGGATACACAAGTTTGAATACCTTGATGTCCCCCCCATAGGATCATCATGAGCAGCTGCCAAAACTCTTTCTCTATAGAAGGTCGGCAACATAACCTGGTGGACTACCTCCCACTCATTTGACAAGGGAGCACTCTGTGGTCTCCATTTCTCATCAAAATCCGATCATTGTAGTAGTACCCAGTTGCTGCGTCTACAATTTCCTCCTTAGAGATGGCTACTTCGTGGCATTCTGCAAGACTGGGGTCAGCTTTCTGTAACTCACTCAAGGAGGCGTCCAGGCCTTGGTCAGATGCCATTGGCCGAGGCTCGACAGTGTTCTCCTCCACCTCCTCACTACTCTCGGTAGGCGGCGGTGGCAGGCTCTCCACAATGTCCTCGGCCACGTCATCGAGTCGGGCCATGAATGTGTCTGCAAGGTCCACTTGGCTTTCACCACTCGGAAAGTTCCTCGTGTCCTCGGGATTTACCACCTTGGCAAGCACAGGGCTGCCCTTACATTTAAGTCCCATAGACCTGGTCACCGCGCATGCAGGGTACACAACATTATCCTCTGCAGCGGGTAGATCCAGGAAAACCTTAGGGGTAGGCAACATAATAGGAAGTCTGGAGTCCCTTACCTTATCCCCTGCTAAATCATTACCCAATATTACATCAACATTATGAAAAGGTAGGTACGAAGTGACTCTGACTGTACAAACACCCTTGTGGAAATCAGATTCCAGGGTAACCTTACGGAGGAGTACTGCTCAAGTATCACTAGTGACACCCTCGACCAGTACCACTTTTCCAGTGTCGAGAATGTTGACACCTTGCAATGCACCCTCTAAAATTAAAGTCTGGATGGCACCGGTGTCTCGGAAGATCACCACGTCCTTTCAGGAAGAACCCTCAGACAAAAGTAGTCTCCCTTTCGATAAGAATGGGGTAAGCAGGTCCAACCACTGTGGGTTGGAGGTCTTACTCCCTAACCCTTCAGAAGGCCTCAAGCCCTGTGTCACAACAAGAGCATTGGTTTTTTTCCGGGTACAGTTGCCAACAACGGCTAGTAATGTGGTTTGGACGTTTACAGTGACCACAGATACGTCGGGGAGAAGAGACATTACTAACAGGATTGCCCTTCGGTTCACTCTTAGGTGTCGTGGGGCTAGACAATTTAACAGGGTTAGTTATGTCTGAAACAGAAGGTGCATTAGTATAGGGTTAGAATGAGCTGGTCTGGACTGGCTGTGGGTATAAGTTTTGCTACTCTGTAGGGTATAATTATTTTTATTGGGCCTTTTGCCCGCCAACTGGTAGTTTTCTACCATCTTGGCCAAATCCCCTATTTTAGAATCTACCTCTATCCTTCCTCTAATGTAATGTGCTACATTCTCTGGCATATTATCTATAAAGTTTTCCACCAAAACCAAATTCTTAAGTGCCTCGTATGTTTCGGCTTTAGCTGAGCAAATCCATTTTTCAAACAATCTAATTTGCTCACTAGCAAATTCAGTGAGCGGTTGGTTGTGAGTAGGCCTAAGGTTGCGATAAGCTTGGCGGTGAGCTTCAGGCGTAATTTCATATGCCCTCAGAATCCGTTCCCTGACTTTACTACATTCAAAACACTCTTCGTCAGGCATGTTTATAAAAATATCTTGGGCCTTACCCCTAAGTCTTCCCTGTAGGATTTTCACCCACTCTTCCTTTGGCCAGTTCATGGACATGGCCAATCTTTAAAAATGGTTGAAAAACCTTTCAGGGTCCGACTCTGAAATTTCACGCAAGTTATGCTTTTTCTCATAATGCCTGGGGTTTGAATCCCCGGCAGGTGGTAGTCCCGTGGTATTCGCTCTAATTATAGCCTCCTCGGTTTTGAGTCTTTGCTGCTCTAGTCTTATTTTTGCTAACTCTACAACCATCTCTCTGTCCCTATGAGCTGCACTCTCCGCTTGGCAAGGCTGGCATAAAGGTGTATCACCTGGCAATAGTTCTTGATCAATACAATGTTGTAATATTTCATTCACCAAAGTCCACTTTTTATCCGCGTCATTTAACTCGAGGCCAAATTCCTTGCCTAAGAATATTAAATTAGACTTGGTAAGTTTCTTGATCTCTACCACTGAAGGGTCCTTTGCCAGTTCCTGCATTTTATCCTTTATCACTAATTAATTTAGCTCCTAGCAAAATAAAAAAATAAAAATAAAAATTGGAAAAAACAAAAATTTGCACGGCCCCTAACACAAGGCCACACTTACCTCAATCATGAAGGGATCCAGCTGGGTGTCCAGTCAGTGCAAGATATATCCTTTGCTATGAGCTGGACCCTAGGCTAGCACACAACCGTTCTGCGGAAAACAAGAATTTTTAGTTTTGGCACTCAAGAATCTAATTTTTTACAATTACAGTTCCTCCCGGTCAGGCCAACCACTTGTTATGAATCAAATGTCTGCTATGTGAGGTCTAGTATTATGGATTAGGGTCAGCAGTTAGAATCAAGATGTATCGCAAGTAATGGAAATCTTAAAGGCCCGGCTCCCAATAAAAATATAAAACAGTATGAACTATAGTGGCTTCCAAAAAGGTCAGCCTAGAGGTAAATCATTGATTTTCTACACAGGAAGAATGGATACTCCTTTAAAACTAACTAACTTATTTATTAACCCCTTAACAACAACCCCCCCTATATACATTAAATAACAATAACAATAATTACTTTACCACACTATCTTACGTTAAAAGCCTTGGTCCACGTAGGCAGGATACACGGTTTTACAATTAGCACAAGCTAGGGTAAAGTCTACTAGTGAAGAACTTGAAGCTTGAGGCAGCTTAGGGTAGTGAGCCCACGTGGGGTACCCTAACACAACACAACACTTAGGGGTACCCAAAACACTGGCAAATACTACCCAAGGTCTACCCAAGTCTTACAATTCCAGAGTAGGCACGATTATATACAAAGTACTTATCTTAGTGGTTACAGGAACTTAAGGTAAGGGAAAAAAGTAGGAGGAAGGGTAGAGGGGTGCAGAGCAACTTAGTAGAGATGTTGACACCACGAATGCCAGCCAGAGAAGGAAGCCAGCCTCGATGCTCAGCTTTCTCCAGCTCACTCGCTGCCAGCCGACTACTCAGCTAATCGTACAGCAGCCCTATATCCAAGTCTACTCAGATCTACTTTACTAACACTTTCTAATCATTTGTAAACATAGTTGATGCCTATTTTATTAATTAATAATCAACCACATGCGCAGTCTTTAAATGCTCTGTGAGAAACAAGAATCGTCTTACGTCTGGCAAGGAAGATACAAACAGACATACATCGACAAGCGCATCAAATAATATAAAGTAGTTTATTTAGCTCAATTTGACCTCTGGTTTCCGCTGATGAACCCAGGGTCGTAACACTCGCTCACCTACCGTACCCGCCATATCTACCATTCCCCGTTACAGCTACCATGCCCGCCACATCTACCATACCCTCAACATCTACAATACTCGACACATCTACCATATCCGAAACATCTACCATACCCTCGCCACATCTACAATACCAGACACATCTACCATATCTGAGACATCTACCATTCCCACATCATCTACCTTACTCGCCACATCTACCTTACCCACATCATCTAAAATATTTGCAACATCTACCATACCTACCGCTCACCTACCGTATGGTACATCTACATCTACCATACACGGTACATCTACAATACCCAAAACATCTACCACACCCGATCACCTACCATACCCACTTCATCTACAGTATCCTTCTCATCTATCACAACCGATACATCTACCATAACTGATACATCTATCATACCCTCCACATCTACCATACCTGCTACAACTACTATATCTGCCACATTTACTATACCCGACAAATCTACCATACCCGCCAAATGTACCATACCTGCAAAAACTACCATACCCAAGACATCTACCATACCTGCCACAACTTCCATACATGCAACATCTACCATACCCAATAAATCTACAATAGCCACCACATCTACCATACCCACCACATCTACCATACCCGCCAAATGTACCATTCTTGCCACATTTACCAAACCCACCACATCTACCATATCCGCCACATCTACCATACCCGCCACATCTACTATACCCGCCTAACTGTCCATACCCGCAACATCTAAAATGCCTGATAAATCTACCATATCCGCCACATTTACCTTACCCGCAACATCTACCATACACACCACATCTACCATTCACACCTTATCTACCGTACCTGAAACTTGTACCTTGAATGCCACATCTACCATGCCTGACACATCTACCATTCCTGCCCCATATACAATACCCACAACTAACATTCCCGATATATCTATAATACCCGATACATCTACCATACCCACAACATCTACCATACCAACCACATATACTCTACCCGCAATATCTACAATACCCAATAAATCTACCATATCCGCCACATATAACATTCCCGATATATCTACAATACCCGACAAATCTACCATACCCACCAAATCTACCATACCCGACACATCTCCAATACTCGATTCATCTACCATTCCTGCCCCATCTAACATTCCCACTACATCTATCATACCCGATAAATCTACCATACCCGCCACATCTACCATGCCCACCACATCTACCATACCTGTCACATCTACGATACAAACCACATCAACCATACCCGCCACATCTACCACGCCCGCAACATCTACCATGCCCGTTATATGTTCATTACCGACCACATCTACCATCCACGACACATCTACCATACCCGCCACATCTACCATATCCGATATTTCTACCATATCCGATATTTCTACCATATCCGATACTTCTACCATACCTGCTTCATCTACCATACCCGCCACATCTATTATACACGCCTCATCTACCATGCCCGCCAAATCTACCATACCCGATATATCTACGATACCCGATAAATTTACGATACCCGACAAATCTACCATGCCTACCAAATCTACCATACCCGACACATCTCCAATACTCGATACATCCACCATTCCTGATGCATCTACCATTCCCGCAACATATACAATATACGATAAACATACCATATCCGCCACATGTACCATACCCGATACATCATCTATACCCATCACATCTACCATACCCGCTACATCTACCGTACCCGATACAGCTACCATGCCCACCACATCTACCATACCCGCCACATCTATCATACCTGCCACATCTACCATACCCGCCACATATAACATATCCGCTATATCTAACATACCCGATACTCAACAATAGTAACAAGAGACACTGAACTACAGTCCAGTGTCCTTAACTCTTATACTATGCAAGGTGATGGAGGAGATCGTGAGAAAAAACCTAGAACACATTTGGAGAGAATCTTGACAACCCATCAACATGGGTTCAGGGAGGGTAAATCTTGCCTTACAGGTTAAATAGAATTCTACGATCAGGTGACAAAGATTAAGCATGAAAGAGAAGGATGGGCGGACTGCTTTTTTTGGACTGTCGGAAAGCCTTTGACACAGTACCCCATAAGAGGTTGATGCATAAGCTGGAGAAACAGGCAGGAGTAACTGGCAGGACGCTCCAGTGGATAAGGGAGTACCTAAGCAATAGGAAGCAGAGAGTTATAGTGAGGGGTGAGACCTCAGAATGGCGTAAAGTCACCAGTGGAGTCCCACAGGGCTCTGTACTCGGAACTATCCTGTTTCTGATATATACGTAAATGATCTCCCAGAGGGCATAGACTCATTCCTCTCAATGTTTGCTGACGACGCAAAAATTATGAGAAGGATTAAGACAGAGGAGGACAACTTGAGGCTTCAAGAAGACCTGGACAAGCTGCAGGAATAGTCGAACAAAAGGTTGTTAGAGTTTAACCCTACCAAATGTAATGTAATGAAGATTAGTGTAGGGAGCAGGAGACCAGATACAAGGTATCATTTGGGAGATGAAATACTTCAAGTGTCAGAGAGAGAAAAAGACCTGGGGGTTGATAACGCGCCAGACCTGTCCGCTGAAGCTCATATCAGGTGGATAACATCAGCGGCATATGCCAGGTTGGCTAACATAAGAACGGCCTTTAGAAACTTGTGTAAGGGAATCTTTCAGAACATTATATACGACATATGTCAGACCAATCCTGGAGTATGCGGCTCCTGCATGGTGTCCATATCTAGTCAAGCATATGACTAAACTGGAAAAGGTTCAAAGGTTTGCCACCAGACTAGTACCCGAGCTGAGAGGTATGAGCTACGAGGACAGACTACGGGAATTAAACCTCAGGTCACTGGAAGACAGAAGAGTTAGGGGGGACATGATCACTACTTACAAGATTCTCAGAGGAATTGACAGGGTAGATAAAGACGGGCTATTTAACACAAGGGGCACATGTACTAGGGGACATAGGTGGAAATTGAGTGCCCAAATGAGCCACAGAGATATTAGAAAGAACTTTTTTAGTGTCAGAGTGGTTGACAAATGGAATGCATTAGGCAGTGATGTGGTGGAGGCTGACTCCACACACAGTTTCAAGTGTAGATATGATAGAGCCCAATAGGCTCAAGAACCTGTACACCAGTTGACTGACAGTTGAGAGGCGGGAACAAAGAGCCAGAGCTCAACCCCCACACGCACAAATAGG